CCCCAAGTTCATTGAAGCATTATTTACAATAGGCAAAACATGAAAACAACCTAAGTGTCTACCAATGGATGAATGGATAAATACTGAATATAATGTGATTGATCCATACATACACACACACACAGACACACACACACACACACACACACGAATATTATTCAGCCTTAAAAAAGAAGGAAATCTTGCCCTTTGTGACTACCTTGATGGACCTTGAGGGCATTATGCTAAGTGAAATAAGCCAGACAGAGAAAGACAAATACAATATGATCTTACTTATATGTGGAATCTAAAAAACCAGAAAACAAAAAACCCAAGCTCACAGATATAGAGAACAGATTTGGTGGTTACCGGAGGTGGGGCATTGGGGGTGAGGGAAATACGTGAAGGGATCAAAAGCTGCAAGCTTGCAGTTATAAAATAAAGAAGTCATAGGGATGCAATACAGCATGGTGACCGCAGTTAATAATATTGTAAGAAAAAGAAACTTAAAACAATCAATTCCATACTTATACAAATTCCCCCAAAGAGCGAAAAGTTGTGTATACCCTACAACTCACATAATGAGACTAGTGTAACCTTGATACCAAAACTAAAGAACAGCATGAGAAAGGAAAAATACAGGGCAATCTCCATCATGAACATAAACAAAAAAATCCTAAATGATATGTTTGCAAATCAAATCCAGCAATGCATTAAAATACAATGCACCATGAACAAACTGGGTTTATTCCAGGAGTTCAAGACTAGTTCATAACCATGTAATTGTCCATATAAACAGAAAAAGTTGGAAAAACTGTAAGATCATCTCAGATGCAGAAGAGACATTTGATAAAAATCAACAACTAAATATTATTTAAAATAAAACTCAACACATTTTTTAAAGCAGAAAGAATGCAAAGATGACCACTACACGGCTCCTATTCATTACCGTTCTGGAAGTTCTAATAACAAAATGAGAAAAAAGAACTAAAAGATGTAAGGATTACAAGGAAAGAATCACAATTATTACTACTTGTAGATGATAAGATTATCTTCATTAATAACACAAAAGTGTACAAATTAGGATTAGAGTGTAGCCAGGTGGTTCTTATAAGATCACTTTATAAAAATCAATTGTATTTCTATATATTGCAACACAGGAAATATTATTAAAAGTTATACCACTTACAACAATAATAAAAGAATACAAGGTACCTAGAAATAAACACAACAAAAGATATGCCAGACTCTTATGAAGAAAATTAGAAATGTTACTGAAAAGCATTAAAGGAGATCTAAATACTGTAATGGAGAGAAAGGTGATGGTTCCAGATAGGAAGATATCATCAAAGAAATTTAAGTTCTCCTGAAACTGATGGACAGATTCAATTCAATTCAAAGCAAAATCCCAACAGAGTTCTTTGTGAACTTTCAAAGCTAATTTAAAAACCTATGTGGGGGGCTTCCCTGGTGGCGCAGTGGTTGAGAGTCCGCCTGCCGATGCAGGCGACACGGGTTCGTGCCCCGGTCCGGGAAGACCCCACATGCCGCGGAGCGGCTGGGCCCGTGAGCCATGGCCGCTGAGCCTGCGTGTCCGGAGCCTGTGCTCCACGACAGGAGAGGCCACAACAGTGAGAGGCCTGCGTACCACAAAAAAAAAAAAAAAAAGATACTTCTGAAGAATAAAAGAGCTTGACATTAGCTCAAGGATAGACAAATGTACCAGTTAAAGTAGAAAGCTCAGATACAGACCTATACATACATGGAAACTTGATATAACGGTGGAAGCACCACGGATCGGTGGGCAAAGGACTATTCAATAAATGGTGCTGGGTCAGTACTGGTGGCTCCTCTACTAGACACTGCAGGTCTAGAGCGTTCAGTATTCTTGGCTGACATGGGCTCTGCAGCAAATGTATTGATCGCTATTGATTTCTTCAGTCAGACCCTTCCTCTCCCCAATCTGGTGAGCTCCACGGTAGGTACAAAAGATAGCTGTCAGGGACGCTTGCAGGTACAAGTCCCCTTAGCTGAAGTGTAGAGAGAGACAAGAAGTGTCTTCCTCCCTTTATAAGGCTTGGTCAGAAGGTGTCTCTCCGCCCTGCCTCCTGTCCACCTAGTGTGGCTCACAGGGGTGGTCGACACAAAGGACAACAGTCATGTTCCTTCTACTGCCCTCAATGGCTCTCTTCTGCTTCTCTGCAGAAACTCTCCCCAGCTTTAGATTCACGCATGAGCAGACCATTTCAGGAACGAGGTAGTGTTTTTTCTCTAACAGGGGTTGCACTGCCCCAGCAGGAAAGTAACCGACAAACAAAGGAGGTCGAACAGAGATGCCTAGTCCTATACTGTGGTGTTACTTTGATAATGAGAAAAAAATAATGGCACTTATAAAATTGAAATCTTTGGCTTTCTTATTAAAGTGCATCGAACCCAACTTACTGGGTTCTAAAGCATCATGATACACAGTACATAACAATCTTCTAAATGTTTCACTAAATCCTGACAAAATTCAGCAAATAAACGGTACATACAGTGATGGACCTGGAGGGAAATAATCAATATGTATGTTAAATGAAACCTGGAGCCTCCAAATTTGGTACAGTTTCAGAAAGAAGAAAAGAACACGCACACTAATAATTAGGTAAAAACAAAGATACCCGCTCTGTATGTTGAAAAACAATAAGAAATTTGTAATCCTTTGATCTTTATATTTTTTTCTAGTAGTGTATGCCACTGCTAAATTATAAGACTTTTAACATTATTCTTGTGAGAAAATTACCATCATTTTCTATAAACTCTCCAATCCTAATATATACTCTAAGATAAGAGATTAAATGATATTTTAAGTCTCTGATGCCTTGGATAAGAATTCTCAAGGCATTCTGTTCACATTGAGTGTTTTGAATTGTAAAAGAATACACAAAAGAGGCAGAGTGGGCTGTGCAGCAAAAGCGCAAGCTTTGGAGAAGACACGTTTAGGTAAGGCCCACATATTTGGCAGGGCCTTGGCTGAGTTTTCCTAATCTCTGAGCCTCATTTATCTCATTTGTAAAATGAAGCTACTATTATGTTTCACCCATTACTGAAAGGATCAATTATTGGCATACTCAATAGTCTCTACTATTTTCTCCTTTCACACTTGCTGAAAGGAAAAAGTTTGTTTTGCTTTATGTCAAACAGGAGGCTTTTCCTGAAATAGTCCAGTGCATATATTTGTATAGGGATGAATAGTGTCCTCCAAAAAGTCATATCCGGGCTTCCCTGGTGGCTCAGTGGTTGAGAGTCCGCCTGCCGATGCAGGGAACACGGGTTCGTGCCCCAGTCCGGGAAGATCCCACGTGCCGCGGAGCGGCTGGGCCCGTGAGCCATGGCCGCGGAGCCTGCGCGTCCAGAGCCTGTGCTCCGCAACGGGAGAGGCCGCAACAGTGAGAGGCCCGCATACCGCAAAAAAAAAAAAAAAAAAAAAAAACCATGTCCACCTGGAACCTATGAAAGTGACTATTTGGAAACAGGGTCTTGTAGATGCAATCAAGTTAAGATGAGATCGTACTGGAACAGGGTGGGCCCTAAATCCAATGACTGGTGTCTTTATAAGAAGGGCCTATGAAGACAGACACAGGAATGGCCCTGTGACAATGGAGGGAGAGACGAGAGTAATGCTGACACAAGCCAGAAAATGCCAAGGACTGCTGGCCACCATCAGAAGCTAGGGAGAGGTGAGGAAGGATTCACCCCAGAGCCTCCAAAGAGAACACGGCCCTGCTGACACCTTAATTTTGGACTTCTAGCCTCCGGAACCATTAAAGAATAAATTTCTCTTATTTCAAGCTACCCTGTGTGTAGTACTTTGTTACAGTAGCCCTAGGAAACTAATACAGTATTGAGTCCTGAAACAGAAATGAAGCATTTTGGCTAATCTCCCACAAAGAAAAAACATACCACTTATTTCGCTACGGCTGAATGGTCATCAGCGCATTCCATGATTGTCTGATGTGGATTTTCCAAGAACACAATTTAGTAGTGCGTTATTGAGGGATCATGTTTACAAGTGAACAAAACGTAACTAAAGCAGGCTTTAACTAACTAAAAAGGTCAGTGGAGGATGAGTTATATTAGTGGATCCTGATTTCCAAGAAACATAAGAACCACCAAGACAGGGCCCATATGGAAGCAGCTCTGGAGTCAATGAGGGCAGGAGTCACCATCTGGTTTCCCATCTTGTTCTTCCTGTGGATGAACTTCATTCTTTTCTCTAGCTGCAGTCTGTCTTTAGCCAGCAGGTGAAAACATGACTGCTGGCAGCTTCCAAGTTTTCTTTTACAGAGTTGAACCCCTGAAGAAAGACTACTTTCATTTTCTGGGTCCCCAAGTCCAAAAAGCCTGGAGGAACACTTTGAGTGGCCTGAGCTGGGTCGCCTGTCCACTCCTGAACTACCTGTTGGAGCCCTGTGGCTGGGCAGGTACCAGAGAGAGGGATGGATGGAGACGATCTAACAAGGAACAGCTCTAGTTTCCTTCCTGATTAAGTAGTTCCACTTTTTTCAATTTACCCCAAATTCTGCTATAATACTAAAACGAAGTGAGCAACCAGGAGCAGAGAAATAATTTTAAAAGCAGGTACAGATACAACTGGAAGAATAAGCAGTAGTAATAGATAAATCAAATTATCAATACATGTAATACACTGATAAAGAACTTTAACGAAGAACCAATAAGCACGTGAACTGGATGCTTTCTGTAAGTATAAATAAAACAATCTTCACAGTTGGAATTACTGAGAAACAATTTTCTCTATTTAAATAATAGAAGAGAATATAAGAAATCAAGCAACCATTTTTATTTGAAGATTTATTTTAAAGAAGTTTTTATATTTGGGTAGTAAAAGAACTATATTTCATCAGCAATAAACAGTTGACTGCATTGTGTGAGCAGGGCACTGAAGGGTCATGAGATTGTTTCTAGAGAAAAATTCAATACATAACTTGTAACTTTTCTTAGACATAGAAATTACCACTTACCATAGCACCGGGGTTTCTATCAGCTCGATTTACTTCAAAAGAATTTATTTTATGGGCACTCATTTCATCAGTGTCAGCAATGATATAATGTCTAGGAGAGTAAGCATCGGACAAGTTCTCAAGCAGCCTCAGGATCTCAGTGGTATGCCCACCTGGAAAAAAATATTGGAAGGCTTGAGATTCAGAAACCGGTAATGGACATATCCATCTGACTACATTATACTAATACTATGCTTTGTGTATTTCTCAAAACACAGAAGGAATATTTGGAAATGATAATTTATGCCCTTGTATAAATACTACCTTTATATGGGGGAAGAGGATAACAAATGTATAAAAATAAAATCAGCACCAGCAGTAGGTTGTGCTACTGTACTACCTGAGGAAGGTACAAAGAAGTATAAGACACAGATCCTGTTATCAAGAAGCCTGGTGGGGAAGGGACAAGACACACAGATATACAAAGAGTGATGCAAGACAGCAAGAAAAATTAAAATGGGGTTTGGGGGAGGGAACAAGCAAAAGGTTGTGAAAAAACAATGTCCTAAGCATAGGGGAGATCCCTGGTAAAGGCTGAAATGACTTGAAAGGTGCAGCTAATGGACAGATATGAGTAGGGAGGCCACTGGGTGGGGGTGGGATTATTAGGACAGGAGAAGGTAAGATCTGGGATGGGTGATCAAGGCATGGTGGGAACACTTGGAAGAAAGAAGAGAGTGAAGTAAGGTCAGGAAAGTAGGCTGGAAAATGGGAAGACAGTTGCTGAAGGTTTCTGTGTTGCAAAGTAACATCAGGGAGGCATGAGCACTGACTCCCAGGGCTCAGATCTTCCTAAGGAAGACTTTTGTTCAACAGCTCCTAACAGAGGTCTTAGACCTAACAGAGGTCTCAAAGATTTACCAGCTTCACCCAACAACTGTGTGTTCAATTTCTGAAATCGTACAATCTCCAAAATTTCCATACTTTAATTTTAAAACCATGAATTTAAAAACCAACTGTGTTCACTGAGGTTTCCTTCGGGGGGAAAAAACCCAAAAGAACATTTACCTATTACATTAACTATATACCAATTAAGCAAAGCAATCAAACTCCTTAAGAATGGGCCCTATCATACCTATTTAATTTAACTGCACGATCCCCTGGCCTCAGCCAGGTTGATGTCTTTAACATTCTCTGTGTTCATCTCATTTGTTACCTCTTCCTTGTCTCTGGTCACACTACAAAGCTCCCCCCACTCACCTCCCTTACTGTTGCAAGAAAGCTTTCAATAGCGATACAGTGAACATATAGGATAATCAAACAAATTATGTGTTTTCTCCAAACGCATATATTTTCTTATAGTAGAAAGGGAACGATTACTCTCTAGATCCCAGAAGGAATTAAGATATAGAAATAAAGTCATCAGAGAGTAAGTATAACAGGAATTAGAATCATGCTTTAACTTTATAACTTGTCAGCCATCTTCTTATGTAGGGCAAGTAATTTACACATCTTATACTCATTTTACCATTTTTGTTTTTAACTTTGAAAAAGTGTGGTGGTTTGCAAAGTAGGTACTTGTTTTCAGAGCTGGAACAATTATGGATAAATCCGAACATATACATCTTCCACTGCTATTAAAACTTCATTTTGCCTGCTTTAACAGTCTTTTCTTTTTTCCTTAAAAGGAAACCCTTTTCCCTTAAAAGGAAACTGAATACATTCTTTGAAAAATTAACTTTGTTACTGAATAAATAAATAATAAGAGCTTCATCTTGCATTTTACTTTTTTATTAAGACTTATCCTTTGGGAATGAAATCTTCTCAGTTCTATCTTAAAGTATATCCAGAATCCAATCACTTCTCACCACCTCTTTTGCTAGCACCCTGCTCCAAACACATCACTCTCACGTGGATTATGACCAAAGCTTCCTGGTCTGTTCCCCCCTCTGCACTTGTCCATTCAAGTGTCCACTTGAGTCTACTCTCAACACAGCCTCTAGACTGATCTTCTTAAAAAGAGTTGATCAAATTATTTACCTCTGCTCAAAACCCTCCACGGGCTCCCCTTCTCATATGGAATAAAACCCTTTTTGTAAGCTGACCCTTATCGTTACCTCTTGGACGTCGTCTCCTCCTTCTCCCCTTACTCAGTCTACTCCAGCCATTCTGGCCTCCTTGCTGTTGGGTATCTGTCATCTCCCCAGGGAGGCTTTACCTGACAATTCTGATGAAAATGCAACTTTCTTTCTCCTCGCCTCCTCCTAACCCACATTTTTCAAACCGGAAACAGAAGGCTCAGTGAGGTTAACTAATTTGCACAAGATCACCAAATTAGTAAGTGGCAGAGATGTGATACAACGCTGGTGTTATGTTCATTTAGAGGCACATGGTCCTAACCTCTGCGTGGTAGGAAGCAGTGGAGTAGTGCCAACAGCTCTGTAGAGCAGGATTTAAAATACCCTTCCGCGATCTGCATGGGGCTTGCCTCCCCACATCCAACTCAGTACAATAGTGCCCTCGCACCTCTGGTCATCCCAAGTGCTATGGCCTTCTTTTCACACCCTCCCAGCCCTCCAAGCCCCAGCTCCCCCTTGTCTGGCTACTTCTTAGTCATCTTTCAAGTCTCAGTTTAGACATCACGACTTCCAGGAAGCTTCCTGTCTCAAGTTCAGAAAAAGTGGCACCCAGCGTGAACTTCCATAGCAGTTTTAACTTCCCAGGTTATAGTACTTATTGTAGCAAGTACCCATTCTGCTTTTCGTTTTCTATTCTCCATTTCATTCACTGCTGTGTCCTCACAGCTTTCACACTGCTTGGGACATAGTCAGCACTGCACGGCAAGTCGTATTCGTCAGTTTTGTTATTTCCAGGGCTTAGCTTAGTGCCTGACCTCCCCTACGGCTCAAAATACATTAAATGAATAAAGTAATGAATTACACGTGAACATAAGTTTAGACCATTTGCTAATACTTATAAATATTATGCTATCCGGATGCAATCTCCTGGCATTTCTGAATGTACACAGCATGTATATGTATCGCTCTGTCAGAGCTGTCCATTTAAAGCGGTCCGCCTACAGAGCTGGCCAACTCTGTTTGGATTGTACTACCTGATTGCACAGGCTGTTGTTCACCCCCCGGCACAATATCCTGAAGTGTGTATTGTTCTCCCGTTAGTAGGTAATTGTTTCTATACTCGTGGGTTTTGTATATGTATATTTATAAATGTGACAATTCGCTTTGTCTCGCTTATCATGTAGTATTCGTGATTCCTAAAGTAAATCCCAAATGCCTAGATTAATAATGGAAAACAGGTTTTATTCAGGCAAATTGCATGTTAGCATCACGGGCTTCTGTGTCCTCTCTGTTTACTAATAATTTGTTAGAAAAATATACACTACAGAGACGCTTAATTACAGACAAGTGTAAGTAACTCATTTGTTATTAAAGACGCGGCCTGGGCCACAACAGCAGACCAGCATTTTGCCCAGCCTGGGCTGACCCGCTCCAGTCCCGCAGAGAAACTACAAATCTCAGCATGCTACGCTGCACAAAGCGATAGGGGTCCCGCGAACAGCGCCGCAGTGGACTCTGGGGTTTGTAGTACCCGACCCGAGCCCGCCAGTCACCGCCCGGGTACTCACCGGACCCAGCCACCACCAAGAGGCTGAGAGACCGCCGGGGCACAGCGGCGTGGGGACGCAGCACTACCCATAGCCGCACTGCCAGCAGCACGGCCACGGCTCCTGCCGCTGCCGCGAGGATAAGGGTGCCACCCATTCGAAGACAAGACGCATGCGTGCTATCCCCCAGCGCCGGCCGCAGGAGCGGTGAAAGTTCAAAACTACGGGCGCTGCGGAGACCCAAACTCGAAGTGTGAGCCTCTTGGTGGGCGGGGCTTGTTGGCGGTGGGAGGAGTTCAGGGCCAGAGGCGGAAGCCTGGCCTCTGACCACCCCGCTGGGGTCCCCGCGGGATTCTGCGTGCGTACAGCCCATGCGTAAACTGAAATTCGCGGATTAAAGCGCTGGAGGAGTTTTGGTTTCGATTCGTGAGGAGGTGAGGCCAGCTAGGCGCCCTAAAAAGGACCTACCAAGTTAGCAGGTGTTCCAAATTAACCAACTTCGTGAATTCCACCTGAGGCCAGTGGCATACGTCGCCTTTTTTTTTTTTTTTTTTTTTTTTTGTTTTCCCGGGGAAGCCTTCCATGATCCCTTCCAAGGGAGCCTTCCCTTTTTCCCGTTTTTTTTTTTTTTTTTTTTTGGTGCCAAGGGAAATGTTTCTGTTGCACATGCACAGCTACTGAAAGTGCTTGCCAGTGAAAGGTACCTTGGTACAAAAAATTGGATTTCGGGTTCTCTTCCAATTCTCCTCTTTCCCGGTCACTCATATTTTTAATTTTTCTAGTCTTTTTCACAGATCCCAGTGTGACCGGAGTAGCCAGCTGAGGGTGATCACCTCAAGTTACACCATGTTCCTGAGAGCAGTGGAAGTTCAGTGTCTCAAGGTAGTGAGATAGAGAAATAATCGTCCTATTCAGTTAATTTTACCGCAAAGGCAACACCTCCCCCAATCCCAATTTTGCTTATTTTTATGTTTACTTAATCCACATTGTAGCAATATAAAAAGGCTGAGATTAGAGAAGCAAGTGTAATTTGCCTTCAGTCCCCAACGGACCTGGAGGTTAGATAGGACAAGTATACAGATGAGTAAACAAGTCCAGAAAGGTGAAACAGCTTGCTCAAGTGAAATAGTGGCAGATGTAGATTTAGAAACTGGAAACCCTAACTGCTGCTGCATAGCAGTTTACGCCATGTATTCCTTTGCCAAATTCAAACTTCCTTGATTTTCAAACTTGCTTAGATGCTGGAATGTGTTTTTAAAAATGCAGCCCTGGGCTTCCCTGGAGGTGCAGTGGTTAAGAAGCTGCCTGCCCATGCAGGGGACATGGGTTTGAGCCCTGGTTCGGGAAGATCCCACATGCCGTAGAGCACCTAAGCCCGCGAGCCACAACTACTGAGCCCACGTGCCACAACTACTGAAGCTCGGTCGCCTAGAGCCCGTACTCCACAAGAGAAGCCACCGCAATGAGAAGCCCGCGCACTGCAATGAAGAGTAGCCCCTGCTAGCCACAACTAAAGAAAGCCCGCACACAGCAACGAAGACCCAACGCAGCCAAAAATAAAATAAAAATAACTAAATTTATAAAATAAAAAAAAAATGCAGCCTCTCAGGGTACAATAGGGAGCTCCTGAATCAGAATCTCCAGGGGAGAGGACTGAGATCAGCTCTTCTAACCAATGTGTCTATTTCTATCAGCAGGCAAGTTTGGGAGACATTTAGGTTCTTTGTAGCATCATTTTCTGGCTAATGGACCTCACATACTTCCTGTATTCTCTCAAATCCTCTTAACCCTATATCCTCACAATAAGGTTATAAGGTGAATATTATTCCCCTCTTTACAGGTAAAGAAAAGGATTCTATAAAAGTTAAATAATTTGCCTAAGGTTAGCTAGTGGGGAATTCCCTGGCAGTCCAGTGGTTAGGACTCCGCGCTTCCACTGCAGGGGGCACAGGTTCCATCCCTGGTCAGGGAACTAAGATCCTGCATGGTGTTAGTAAGTGGTGGAGAAATTTTATAGTTGTGGGCTTAGAAGTCAAATTTTGATGGAATCAGAATCCCCTGGGCTTACAAATACGTAGTTGGAAGTCCAGAGGTAGGGCCTCTGGCGCAGTATGAAAATCAGCTTAAGAATATTACAAAAGATGTAGTTTTATTTCATCTGCCCACTCTGCCATTCCCAGCAATGGCTTCAGCCTAAGACTCTCTCCCATCATACTTTTAGAAGAAGACATTAGTTGTCTCAGAAATTTACATCCAGGCAGAGCAGTCTCCAGATTTCAAGAGGTTATCTTGTCCTGGGTCTTTTTTTAAGAGTGAGGAAACCTTTTCCAGAACCTCCCACAGCAGACTTTCACTCCTTTTGGCCAAATATATATCACTTGCCCCTTCATAAAAGGAATGAGACCACAAATCTGGCTGAGGTAGGATGGAGGATGACATACAACTCAACTGTGGTACCTGGCTGTTTGGTGGAGGGTGGGTACTGAACAAAACAGGCATTCTCTTGGAGAGGAGGATGTTGGAGGAGGGTGGAGGAAAGATCATTGCTGGGTAGGCAAATAATAGTGTTTGGATTGCTGTGAAGGTGATGCATCTGAGCTGGTGGTATAAACTGACACAGGCAATGCAGATGTTTGGCATATTAATAATGTTAGTCTCTAGGCCCCAAAAGATACCCCTGCATTCCCTAGTACCCATCCCCTCACTACTGTCATTACCTGTGTCTGTACGAAATATCAGTTTGACCACATTTGGTTGTAGATGGAATGAATGGGGAGTGATCAAGCATTTTAGTGGCTGCCAGTAAATGCAGAGAATCAAAGAGGGTGGAATAGCATACATTGTTAGGAGTTATTGGTTGAGTTATTTTGAATTAAGTCTAGGGTCAAACTGTTCATTGTTCCCGACAAGGGAGTTGAGGACTGCAGGGAGGAGCTGGGTGGCAGGTGGAGACAGGAACAAAGTTGGGAACTCCTGAACACAATAAATCAGGAGTGTTTTATTCACCCACAAATTGCTGGGTGAGCTGAGTCCTGGGCTGTGACAGGCACAGAATATAATTAAGAGGTGAATCATATGTACTGGATTAATCAGAAAAGGCAGGACTGAACAGGACGAAGCAACTAAAATTTCTCTTGGGGAGGTAAGTTGCACTGACAGTGCAGCTAACAAATGCACAGAGGTAAATTATACTGTGTGAAAAGCATGAAAATGTACTAATAATTGATAAACTGAATAATAGTATTGAGCCATACCAATCATAAGTAAAGTCTGCCTGAGAAGTGATTTTTATTATCTTCTTAAATCAATTTTCTAAAGTTTCTGTGACAAGCATTATTCATGAATATTTTTAAAATTAAGATTATTTTGCACTATTGAATGGAATTGTACATGTTAATTTAGTCACCATATTTAATGAGCACCTGCTATGTGCTAGATTTAGGTGCAGGGGATCTTGTATGACAGTAGTAGTCCAGACTAAAACCTTAGATGAGGAAGATGACAGTGGAAGGTAGAAGAGGGTAGATTTGAGATATATTTTATGGATAGAGTCAGTAAGACTCGTTGATGGATTAGATATTGGGAATCAAAGTGGCTCTTAGATTTTTGGCTTCAAAACTGGCTGGATGGTGTCATTTGCTCAGACTAGACAGGCAGGAAGAGAAAAGTTTTTGTGAGCAGAGAAAGGGGAGGAGATGATGAAAATGAAGTGTTCTGTTTTGGATGTTAGTTTGAATAACCTGTTAAACATCCAAGTAGTTGTGTCAAAAAGGCAGTTTATGTATAAATCTGAAGTGTGGGTTAGAACTAGAGGTATAAATTTAGAATTCAGCATATAGATGGTATTTAAAGCCATGGGACTGGGTGAGATCACCTGGGGAGGGAATTTAGGTCAGTCCTGCCCAACAGAAGTTTCTGCAATGATGGAAATGTTTTGTGTCCATGTTGTCCACTAGACACATGGCCTGCTGAGCACTTGAAATGTGGCTAGTGCTATGGAGGAACTGAATTTTAATTTTATTTCATTTAAATTATTTTAAATTTAAATGCATTGGCATTAGCCAATGGCTAATGCATTGGATAGCTTAGGATAGAGAAGAATCCGGGGTCATTAATATTTAGAGGTCTAGTCAAGCAGACTGGGCCAGCAAAGAAGATGGGGAAGAAAAAGCCAGGAAGACAGGAGGAGAATCAGGAGACAATGGTGTCCACAAAAGCCACAGGAGGAAAATGATTCAAGAACGGGAGTGCAGTTAGCTATGTCATATGCTGCTGATAGGTGGCATTAGGTGACTTGGGAACAAATTAGTCACTGGGGATCTAAACAGGAGCAGCATTTCCATGGAAGGGTGGATGTGGAAGGCAGATAGAAATGGGCAGAGGAGAGAATGGGAGATGAAGAGAAGCAGGGTCTGTAGACAGTCATTTCAAGTTTTCCTTTGGAGGGGAATGGAAAAATTGGATGGGAAATATGGGAGAATTTGTAATCGAGGAAACTTTTTTTTAAGATGGGAGTTAACTGACATATTTATTTGATGTTAAAAATGATCCAATAAAGGGAAATTGATTTAGGTGAGAAAAAAACGTTTATCTTAAAAAATGAAAAGGGTTGGAATCTTGAGCACAAGGGGAGCAGTTGGGCTTCGATAGGAGGGACCCTTATTCCACGGTAACAGAATGGAGGGCAGGGATATGGATGCAGGTCCTGGGAGGTTTGTAGAATTGGCGGTGAATAGATAAGGGTGTGGAGACTGGGGGTGCAGAAGAGTATGAGAAGCTCAAGAAGAAAGAAGGTGTGAAATAATCACCTTGAAGAGTAATTGGCATACTCACCAGGATCAGCTTAGGATTTCTGGGCAGATTGGGATGCCCATTTGTAGCTTGTGATAACAAATATAGAGAGAAACCAGTCGGCGTGATTTTATGTCTTTTCCCCCCACTGGAAAAGGCAGACAGTTGGCTTTAACCACAGTTAGATTTTTGACAGGTGACTACATAAGAGAGAATGTTCTTTTCAAGGGAGTGAGGTCCGTGGAATTTCCTCTTGACATAGTGGAAAGTGAAGACAGGGGAATGGAGGAGGGACAGTGGATGAATCGTGGAAGAGTATAAGGTCAGTGGACTGGAGGCCTAAAGAAAGTTGAAAAATTGCAATGAAAAACTAGAGTCAGGGAACTATAGATATAAGAGGTGGTGATCAGAGAGTGGGATGCTTGAAGTAAATATTGTGTTATTGCTGGTGGTAGTATTTAGGGTATGACAATAGGAATGGA